AAACAAAAACAAACTTATAGCTAGCTTTGTTACATCAATAAAATACCAAAGAAAACACGACAGATAAATACTGAAAATTATTCTGAACCACGAACGCTAAAAAGCAGTTTGGTAATTTAGGAGAAAAAAATGGGCCCGTTCATTGTTTTTTCTTTGCCTTTTCAATTTACACTAATATCCTCCACTTCACTCTGTATGTGTTTGATCGTCAAATTTTCATTGTTCAAAGTATAAAAAATTTTTCCGCCCTTTTTTCCACATCAAATTTTACCATTTTTTTTTTCTGTAACATTCATTAGCCAAACTGAACCATACGTAACAAGTACAAAAAAAAAACAAATAGTATTTACTGTAAAGCACTTTTCATTCTTCTGTAACAAGACAGCAAAGAAAAAGAAAAAAGAAATGAAAAGGTAGAACAAAATGTTCTAATTCTTTTCCATCTTCTTTTTCATTTTCTGTTAAAACTTCACAAATACAAGTAAAAAAAAACAATAATTCATGAAAAAAAGCGTAAAATCAATAAACTGACTAAGGGAAATAAATGAAGAAAACCATGTAAAATCATTGAACTTTTGACAACACCTCTACACTGCTATTTCTTGTCTTTTCAACCTTATCAATTTCCCCGCTAAAAGTAAAGCTTAGTTTTAACCTTAAAACAAGACAATTCGAGTTGTTGGCTGAACAGTCGCTCAACTGCCAACAATAATAGCTGGGAAAAAAGGTAAGCTTAAAGTTAACACATATTTCAGTAAAGCAACGTTCTAATGAATATGGGCCTTCTCATTTGAAAAAGTGAAAAATGAACAGAAAACGGGAAAACACGATGATCGGTTGATATGCATAGTAAAGCTTTTATATAGAAAACCACTGTTTTTTACTGATACGAGTCGACTGCCAAAGCGGAAAAATTATTCAAAAGCTTTTTTACCCCTAAATTTTACTACCATCTGTCAAAAATAAAAGTAAAGCAGAATTAAACATAACAAGCATTATCAAAAGAAAAAGAAACTGAAAAAATTTATTTAGTTTCTAACGAAACCGTTGAACAAGGAACCAGATATAAGAAAAAAAAAACAAAAAAATTTTTCACCGGGATGCCGCTGCAAAAAAAAAAGCACAACTGCAGCGAAGAATTATAAAGAAAAAACTGAACAAATAAAAGCAGAAGGAATTACCAATGCATTCAGATAAACTTCTGAAAAAAACCGTATGGAACTTATGTAATAGTCCTCAAACTGTTATCAAGTTATGCGATCAAAAATTGTTTTAATTCTCCTGCTGTTAAAAGAGAAATTTGTTGCGCGGAAAAAACTGTAAAGCATTTTTCCCCTTTTTCCTTCATTTTTTCTTCTTCCTTCATCTTTCCACCTTTAATTCCAGTGTTAGAGGCTCGTCAAGCAACGGAGGAAAGCTCGACTACAAAACGCTAGTGTAAAAATAAAAAAGTATACTAAAAAAATATGCGAAAAGAAGGAACAGGAAAAATTGGGTACATGAAAGAGAGAAAAAATTAAAAAAACAGTAACGAAAAACGAAATGGCAATAAAAGTATAAACAGCAGTCAGTTGTTGACAAATTTATATATATATATGCGCATATTATAGGGTAAGAACTATGACTTTGAAAAAAAAAAAGAGTGAAAAAGTGACAGTAAAACGGCAAACGAATAAATGACAAAAGAAAAAGTAGAGTAAATCAAAAAAAAACCCTGCAAAAAAAAGTTTATACACTGTAATTTGCTAACTTTAGAAAAAACCCTCATCTTAGAGAATAATGTGAAAAACCAGAAAGAAAATGGACCTTGTATGCTGCAAATGCAGTAGGTTAAACCCTGTTAGATGAAAATGCAGTAACACATCGAATGGAAAGTAAATATCTAAATAAAACTACAAAAATATATACCTTGCTTTCAAGACAAACCGTCAAAAACTTGAGAAATTTGAGTATTAATGTTAAAAGATCCAGAGAGAATATGAAACAGACAACAGTAGAGCTCAGTCGAACAAAATGATTTTTTTTTTCTAAAGAGGAAATGTCATCACCAGTTCACAGAAACATATGCACCTCAAAACACACGGATACTCACAAGCATACACATACAGATACAAATACGCACACAC